CCTGATCAGTTCCCAGATTTAGTATCTCTCTGCTTCAATCTTTTTTTCCAGTAACCGCCCAGCTGTGGAGCATCCTCCCACTGTTTTCCTCTCAACCTACAACCCTACACTTTTAACGCAGACTCAATAAACTGGATCTTACGTGAATGCTCCCTACTATTCATTTCACAGTACGCTATTTGCCGATGGGGAATTCCCCTTTTGACGTCACACTATTTAGCAAAACAAACTTCATTGTGCAAATGGTTGTTTTGGCAGATTTGCAGTTGTTTTGTCGATTGTGAAAAGTTCAGTAGCCTCGGTGGGATTCGAACTCACGCACGGAAGCCGCCTACGCTTTGTACGCGTAATTCGAATGTGAATAGATCAGTGCTATCAGTGCGGCCTCGTAGCTCAGCTGGTAGAGCATGCGCGTAGAAACCGTAGGTGGTACACATGCATGGGTTCGAATCCCACCGAGGCAACTGAACTTTTCAAAATTGACACAACTTTAAATCTGCCAAAACAACCATTTGCACAATCAAACTTGTCCTAGAAGCTCATTCGGTGGACTTCAGTGAACTCCAAGGAAAACAAGCCGGGGCAGTCTGCGTAATATCGTTTTGACTGGTTTGACTGGATATCTTTCAGACTTCACCTTCACGAACACTCCTCAGCTCTTCCAGTCAACCATGCACTCGGAAGCACTAGACTCAAGTTACGCTCTCATTAGAGCTTATCACTGGTGCGTATCCACCGTACCGGTTAGAATTTGAACCCTGGATCCATTGTATAGAAGGCCTGTGTGATCAGTGTGCCAAGTAACTCATGCCAGAACTGAACCGAATAGTCACTTCGTGCTTCTTTAGGTGTCGTCCTCGGAAATAGTCAGCTGCAATCAATCAGTCGAGAAGATAATTAAAAATATCGTGCTCTATGACCAAGACAGCACTCTTGATCTCGAATGCGAATACTACGGAAGCTGAAAAACCGAATATGGCATCAAGTAAGGCAATTCTGACGCTTTCTAATCGGTAAGGCAAACGGCGTCATCCGCTTCTGAAGTAAACTCGACCAGATAACGAAAACAAAAGCATCCACAGCACATTCCCCGGGACAATCTGCGGGTAAACCACAATCACGAAGCCTGTCTCCAGAGTCAAACGATATAGCATTACTGGTGAAGACAAAATTACGATACTCACCAAAGGAATATATATGCATCTTGGTGGTAGGCAACTTTGCCTTCTGGATCGAAATCATGTTTAACCTAACGGTGCCTTGTTCAGTTTAGGTTGCTAGGTTCCACCCCTAAACAACAGGTCTTGGCAACTATGGGGGCCACCCCGAATGCTGTTCATCACACAAATTTATGATAAAAGTACCGTTAATCTTTGGGCCTCGTGCGTGAGTAGCGCAACAAAATACTTTTCTTTAGGAACGGACAAAGCCAATCAACGATATTCAGGCTCATAGTTCTCGGGCACTCGGTGACGACGGCGCTTTCGCAAAATCTACGCTATGAAAAATAAGTGCGGCAGGCTCCGACCATGCAGTACTTTTCCACGATGCCTACAATGATAGATCAAAACTGTCGGAAAATGGGATCCGTAACGCGTGACGTTTCCTAATTATCAATCCTATAAATTCCAATAATGATACAGACTGACCGTAAGTCTTGAGAAAGAGAATCGCTTATCATTGTGGTACTGTGATGCAGCGTTTCGAACTTCCTCCAGAGAAGAGGGACCAAAAACGAACTGCGCTCACCATAGTTCACCCTAGTTTGGCACATTCACGGATTGTTATATATTATACACGTCTGATGCCAGACTGTCAAAGAAACCAGGGCACAATAATCTTTATAAAGATAAACGTTCGATGCTTCTGACCTGGAAGGAAATGATAGGAACATCATGCCCTTCGGTCACTCCTTTGGAAAATCGCACCGGACACAGTACGCCCGGTCTATCTACCGCAATTATTCGTGCTACCATTCGCTAATCCCAACAGATTACACTCGCCCTGAACCAGTAACTGCTGTGGTAGACAATTGCCGAGCATCAGCAACACGCGCCACCATCAGTGGAGCCTACTTATTCCTGTATGGTAACGAAATCTCCACGAAAAACATCGAAGATGGAAAACCTCCCGTCAGCGGACGACAAACTCAAGGCGCAATACACACGGTTTCTGACACCAAGTGACTCAGGGGAAATGAGACAACCCAATTGAATGCGTTCCACTAAAAGCAGCCGATAATTAATGCGCGAGTGGACTACAGCAACCTTACCCAAAAAAGACATGGCTCAAGCGTATTATCTGGGTGTATTGTAAAGACCATGCCCATGATGCACACCTAAAACACGTCACTACCGCACGCAGCGTAAATCTCCGACACCTGCCTGACTCAATGGTTAGGAATATACAAAGCCAATTCTTCATTCACCGGCAAGTTTCAACAAAAGTGACTCCGCCTGACAATCTTACCTTATGCGAGGCGTTTGTGTTCTTCATTGTTTTTGGCATTATTCGTGGTGCGCAAATCGTCCCTCCTGTGTACACGAATGCCCATCCGGCAGTGATCAAGTTCCCTTTGCCGGCGTTTCTGAGCTTCAGAAATGATCGTACATAACTTCATCACCATAAGTTCAACACTTCGCCTATTGGTGGCTAAAACCCTACATCTGCCAATCAAGGCCCCAGCATATTCTCGTCCATCTTGCCATCTTATCCACTGTTCATGGTAAAATGACCCGCGGTAAAATTGCCTTACCCGGCCGGTATTGAGATAGAATAGGTGGGCTATAATTGTGAACAATTCTTGCGTTACCACAACACCAGCCGTATTTATACTAATACAGGTTACCGCCCTTATTTGTCAAGGATGGTTCCTAAAGGTGCTTAGTGGTTAGATTGCCGCTTTCCATCGCTGAACGGCATGCGTGTGCGAGTATGGGGGTCGCCCCGTTTGCTGCTCATCAAAAATGTAATGAAAGATGCACAGATGCAGCTCCTGACTTTTGAGCCCATACGGAACACATATAGGACTCGAAAAATCCCCAGATGACCAAGAGAAACGAGAATTACCCTAGGTGAACTGGGTGTCAACAATCTTTACTTCCATGTTAACAACCACCCAGACTTTTCACTTCAGTGGTTCACCAAATTGGTTATCACTAACACATTTCCTGTGTTGCCCTTGATTCTGTCAACTGTAAACCACTATAAGCGTAATAAAAACCTAACGGGCAATATAGATTCTGGTCAAACCATGAACACGGAAATGCTGACACAAAGATTCACGGTTTTGCAGGTTGGTTGACTTCTGTGATCGGAAAACAAGTCCTAAGGAAGAATCGTTGCGCTGTGTGCGTACGCGGTCCGCCTTTATCCATGAATCGCAAACCTCCAAACATGCCACGGAATACCCAACCAATGTCGACTTCTGGCGCTGACTCGCAATCACGGGGAGTTGATTAATGATACTACCCAAATCAGAACATCAAATGAGAACAGTGTAACAGTACGGCACAGATCTCAAACGGCCATCACGAACTGGCAGCCAAAAACGCCATTGGAAAAGAAATGACACGCCTTGCATTTTTCAAGCCAATAAGCTAATAGTTCACCGATATATACAAAAAACAGCAATACGATGGTCGCTCAAAATTCACGCCTGTGGTAATTGTCCGGATTGAAGAACGATGTGACTACCAGTCTCTGATTGAACTTGCGTCCTGTTAAGGCCGTAGCTGCTTTCTGACAATCGATCAGACTAGCGAATTCGACGTAAATTTTCCCGACACCAGGGACTTCCACGCCTCGGATTGGACGTGGGATTTCGAGGCTGCGTACAACTCCATACTTGCTGCATTCGGCGCGGACATCCTCCACAATGTCCTCATACTCCTCATCATCTTCGAGTTCGGCAGGATCAACCATGTTCATCAAACACAGCACTTCAGTAGGAGGGCCACCGCTCCGAATAGTTATGTTTCCTGAACCGGTGGTGTTGTGGACCAGAGCATCGTCGAGACCAGGGAGCTGGAGCAGCGGCTGAGGTGCAGTACTCGTTGCATGCTTGGCACCTACGCTAGCGCGCTGTACGATTAACTTTTTGTCACCAAGTTGCATCCCATTGAGACCAGCACATGCATGGTCCGTGACGTTAGGATCGACATACTCACAAAATGCATAACCCTTCGAGAGACCAGTGGAACTGTCTTTAACCAAATTAAAGCCTTTGAGAGGTCCAAAACTTAGCAATAGCTCCTTTACCTGATCCTCGTTTAGGTAGTTGGGCAGACCACCAACGAACACTTTATGGGGTGAGTCCTGAACCACTGTACTCACCACCCCAGGGACCACGACTGACGGAGTTTCCGATACGCCCGGCAGAGGCGCATAATCTCTAGGCCTTCTCAGTTTGAGAGCATGATTGTGGAATAACACGCCGTCCAGTGCCAAACCCTGTGTAGTTTCATCGACAGATCGAAATTCCAAAAAGGCAAAATTCTTTTCCATATTAATTTGCACTGCGATGATAGGGTTCCCTTCGGCTTGTATTAGACCTTGAGCGCGCATCTGCTTGTTAAAGAACTCCATCATGTTCTCCTCTGTCGCAGTAAAGGGAATATTACCTACATACAACCGCCGAGCCTGACGACAGACCGCACTGCCGGCGAAGGGGATATTTGTGTTCAACGTGAGAGGTGCGTTGGGGGTGTGTGCCGGCATCGGTATCTGACCGGCGGCGTACAAATTCACCGGAATTTGCCCAGATGCTTGCATTGCTTTATACTGTGCGGGGGTGACATGTTCAAAACCCGGTGGAGGGACATCCCAGTATTTGTAGATTAAAGGAGGCGTTGAAGGCGAACGATGACGCGAGTGTCTTCTTTTAGATCGCCGCTCCCGACTCCGGTCCCTATGTCGACTGCGGTCACGACTTCTACGTCGCCGATCCCGACTGTGACTGCGACTGCGGGATCGCCGCTTTTCGCGTTTCCGATCGCGGCTGCGATCCTCGTTGCTAGAATCACGTCTGTGAGATCTTGGTGATGCGAGCTTGTTATTTTCTTGACTATGTGTGCTGTAGGCGCCGTCGCGATCATCGAACGTTCCGTAATTTCCGTTGTTCCCCGTCACCTTCTGACCAACCGTGGACACGTCGCCTGAGTCCGCATTTTCACTGCCGTAGTACACCTGGTTGTAGAAATCTGCCATGTGCGAACTGCTTTGGTACCTAAAAATGACATTTTAAAGTATGCTAAAATAAAAAACAATATACAACAGTCAATAACTCGACAAACATCTCAGTGAACATCCAATAAACAAGCAAAATTACGAAAACCGACTCACCCGAACTTGTACAGAAGCGATTTAATGGCGTCCGATGAAAGGGCTTGGTTCAAACAAAAAACGAATAGTGCAAACATTCTCAATCGCGGTTTCGAAGTTCAACTTCTTGAATTTGACCGAAGATTTTATTGTTATATAGGCAGAATAGGATTATTTAGTGGACTTGCAGCTTGAATAAGTATATTAACCCAGGTTCTCTCATGCAAATACCAGGAGCTACCAGTTTCATTGTCTTTTTTCGTTTTCCGAAGGCACTATCATGAAACAGGACCTCTAGCTCAAGGATAGGACCTACAAACTGTCGCACCATCGCGGGATACTAGTAGCCTATTAGTGCAAGAATCTGCGCATGTTGTTTAATTCATTTCCAGGCCGATTTGGATAAGGTGTGACTGTAAAGTAGCCGAGTGGTATGGAACACCGAGGATCATGCTCTTCTGTAGGAGGGGGCAGTGTAATGCTAGGCACGTTGAGCACGTCTCTGCCATTTTAGATTGAGTGTGAGTCGTATACGTGCCTCGCTGGACATTTTAGTTCTCTTGAAGTATTGAAGTGATACACGGGTACGAGGCTGTTGCCCAAATGTCTCGGGTCCTTGAAAGGTATTTGTGTTTTCTTTTCGTTGGAATTTTTCTAGAACAGGGAGTACTGAAAAGACCTTAGTAGGCTTTACCGCTCGAGGCGAGAAGTAAAATGAAGAATTGTGAACTTGCATAATTCAAAATGATTTTTTTATTGGGGGTGAGTAAATAAATCTAAGTGACGGTCAAGACGAAGTTTGAAGACCCCCTTGCTGGGGGCGCTGATCATCTCTTCAGGAAGGACATACCATAGGGATATCATCCTGAAGCTAAAAAAATGAGGCACCCCGAGTGCTTCTCCGACGGGGCTTGAAAATTATTTTGCTATGACC